AAAAAAAGCAGTAAAGTTGTTTGATTGAAAACTCATGCAAAGGTTTTAAACAAGCCTAAAGAGTTCAAATCCACCATGAAGTGTTTAGTCATGTTTTAGTAGGTTTAATGTAATATAGTTAAAGACTAACTTCAACCTGATCATGTTACTGCACCAACAAAAAGGTGCCCACTACAAAATTCCACGGTTATCATTGCTATGATCATTTTTAACTAGAATAAAATATATCATAATAACTAATAACTTAAATATATCTTTAAAATATTACATGCATGGCTTGTCAAACTTTTTAAAAAGCAACATTTAAAGTGATTAATAGTCATTTATTCGAGAATAGTGTTAACTTTTTTTGCGTTTGCAAAAGACATAGCTTGTACTGTTTAGTCAGGGAAAAAAAAATTAAAATTCTGACATTTTGAATTTCTTCCGTTAAACACAAAAGAAGATATTTTGATAAACATTCTAAGCTATAACCATTGGCTTAGCATTTGTTTTATAGACCAGGGCTGGAGTGGGATTGCTTTTTCAGCCCTGGAGTTTCAAACCTTAGATCATCCCACCTTAGTTCACGACTGACTAAATTAAAATAACGTCATTACCAATTCAGTTTCTAATGACACTATCACGTCTTTTCCAAGGAAACGGCTGCTTTAGAAGTTCAAATGTTTTCGTAAATATGAGAACATTAAAGGGTAGCTAAATCTCCAACACTATTCTTTAAAACATCACAATGTCCTTTCCTGCAATATCTGAATATACATTCTGTGCAAAATTCTTTATAGATATCCAGTCATTTGTAATGAAGGTCACACAAAAAATAAAAATAAAGCATGTACACCTATTAAAGTAACACAAACAGTATTATATGTCTTAACAACAAAAATGACAAAAATAAAATAAATAAAAAAATACTCGGGTGAGATTTGGCATCGTATTGCAACATGCTGACCACTGAACTACAATAGAACTGTTACAATGGTGTGTTTTGAATAAAGAATAAAACAAGTATTGCTCTGTTATTCAGACTCTTAACAACAGTATTACTTTGTATTGATGGCTTAATCTTTTTCTCCGCTTTTTAGATTCCTGATCAAGTTATGTCAGATTTATTAATGTAGTGAATCATCTGATTTTCATTGAGCAGGTGTAAAATTCATTAATATTATTGATTTGAATTCTTATATTCACTCAATTACAATCCTACCTGCCCATTCTAGTGTGTTGGGCTCATGACTGGTCTGGTGCTTGGTAAGGTTATGGGGCCTGGCTCTTCACTGTTAGCAGCAAACTGGACAAGAGGCTGCTGCAGAAGAGATACAGAACAAATAAACGTTCGGTACATAAAACGGGGGTTTGCAGACATTGTTGTTTTGCACTGCTCCTAACTAGCTTAACGTTAATTTACTGGCCATTTCATCATCTTTATGTGATGTTGTACGTAGCTTTTTTTTTTCTGGCCTTTTCATCAGCACCTTTACACTTTTCACTATCAATTTTTCATCTCTCACTTATCTCTTAAATGATTTTGCTGATGAACAAGGTGCCACTGTATGGGGTCGAATGATAATTACATCATCATTAACCTGGAGGCTGCATTTTGCTCTAGGGGCTGCGAGAAAACAAATAAAAAGAATATAGCTGCTGTAAAATAATGCATAAAAAGACTGAGGCTATGGTCAAACAAATAAATAACAGGAAAAAGTGTCAGTGCTAGGAGTGCAAGCAGCTAGGGACACCGCCCTTGCGGCCAAAAAATGGTATTGCTATTGCTATTGGTAACCGCTGTACTAAGGGACCTAAAGAACAGTCTGCACTTTTCCAGTTTTTCATTGTTCTTTTTTTTTTTTTTAATTCTAGCCTCAGTTAGCAGTTCTTATCTTGGTGTTGTTATCTTAGTTACTTTTTTCTGCTAGTCTAGTACATCTGCTTCAAGGCTTGATGTGTTGTTTGTGAATCAGAGATGCACTTTTGCAGACCTTGGTTGTAGCAAGTTACTGTTGGCTTTCCATCAGCTCCAATATGTCTGTCCATTTTTCTTTAACAATGCATGTTTTGGCCTCAGAAATGTCTCTCACTGAATATTTCCTCATTTTTAGACAATACTCTGGCTTTGTAAACAATGTACACAAAGACAATTCACTCCCATTATTGTGAATGGGGAAAAGTGCAATGGTTAGTTTGTCTACAAAAACAAAAGGAAGTCCCTCCTTCCAGTCAGAATAGCCAGTCATCACTCTTTATAGTCGTCCGGTTCTTTGGGGGGAGGAGTCTGTATAGATTTTCTTGTTCATTATGGCATGCCCTATCATTTGAAGACTGTGTCCTCTGTTGAGTTATATAAAGAGAAATTACATCTCATCCATTCACATCACACATTGTGTCCTTCCAGTGCCATCCTGCGGTCTTTCATCTGGGTTTGTCTCTGTTCTTTCAATGTTTGTATCTGCAACCTCTGGTTACCATTAAAACAGCTGTAAAATAAGTTGATGTCATGCCAATCTTTGCTCACACACAGTAGCTGAGTCAAACTGAAAACAAGTTTTAAATGTTAATACTGCTTTAGAGGCATCAAGTCAGGTCACTTCAGATTGTGTGTTGTTGATTTGAAATATGTAATTTAATTTGATGTTCAGAGAGTAGTGTACAAGATTTCAGGATTCCCCCATTCATTTAGATAGGATTCGGATGAACTGCCTGTTTTAAATGGTAAATGGTAGTGTGTGAAAATTCAAGTAGTTTCTGGATTTGCAGACTAGCTTGTCTAACACCAACCACCACTCCATGCCCAAAGTCACTTAAAGGATCTTTATTTCCTATTATAAAGTATTATCAAATATTGACAATGAAAAATTCTGCTAATTTTAGAGTTAACCTGGTCATTATTGGACTTGTTTATATGGGATGTGTTCTTATGTCTGAAAACAGCTGGAAAGAGCACACCTGACTGGAAGAGAACACAGCAGTTTTGTGACAGTTCTGGCACCATTTTTAATCTTAAAACAATGTCTTAATCATAGAACTACTGAGATCAGAGTTTATGATCAACTTTTCTTTATAACACCACTAATTTATTAAAATTACAAAGCACAAGACCTATGAGTATTTCTACATTTAATTACCACAGCGGTCAAAATGATCGCATGCATTTCAGTGTCTCCTACTTTTCCCTGTATCATTAAATATGCTTGCCTCTGTTGCCTAGCAACTTCCTGCTATCTTTCTGTTGGCAAAAACATAACTTTTCTTCAGATGTGTCTTTTAAAATATTATAATTAGTGCCCTGATGAAAGTGAAAATGAAAGTGAGACATGGACATTCGCTGGTAGTCTAGTAGCATAACTATACATTTTAGGCTTTATTAGCAACCTCAATAGAAGCTTTGATTGTAAATATGATGTGACAATATGTTTTACATGAGAATGGCCAGAATGACCGATGTGGTAATTCTAGTAGTTATAGAATTCGGGACTTCCATTGTTAAAAACACAACATTTGGTCGACGCCAAAAGCCTAATGGTACTGTGCGCCAACATACAGCACCGACGTATGCACGATGACCCAAGTTCGATTATCGGCTCGAGGTCCTTGCCGATCCTTCCGCTCTCTCTGCTCCCAATGCTTTCCTGTCTGAAATCTCTACTGTCGTATCATAATAAAGGTAAAAAACTGACAAAAATAAATAAATAAATAAAAAGATAATAATAATAAAAACACATTTGTTACTAGATTATTAGAAGATTGTCAGATTGTCAGTTTGTCTCTTCACCTGGCTGCTACTGAGACACAGCACACACAATGGGCAGCAGTCAACTGCTTCACAAATACCATAGTGGCTGATATTATATTTAATCAGTCAGTAAAATGATACTTTCAACATTGAAATATGTGAAGGGATACATACAGTGTGTTATTAGAAATATTTCAAGAACATGATTGGTTTTTCACAGCTTTACATTGATGTGGTTCATTAAAAATGTGCAAAGTGATTTGTGCAGAGTATCCAGTGTCCTGGTTGTGTGTTGTGGGCTGCAGGGCAGGCCTGCTTTCTGCTGTGTGGAATGTGTTTATGGGCCATTTCTTCCTGCAGTGCCTATATTACACACATTTTTGACCTGGGGTGAGGAGATCAGTAGCTGTTGACTGACTGAACACACATTCATTAGAGATCTCAAGGAATGCTCCAGATTCTTCAAATGTCCACACGGCTTTGTTCGGCAAAATGCAAGTCTTTGTACAAAGTAGTTATGTTTGTATACATGCATTTAGACACCCAAAACTGCACAAAATCACTCAATGCTATGAAAAATGCTAAAGTAGCATAGCGTTTTGCTATTATCATGTGCCAATTCTGTTGTAATAAGATTATTGTTGTCTTTTTATTTCACAAAAATTCTGTCATCATTTACTCACTCTTCAATTCTTTCAAACCTGCCTGGGTTTCTCTACAATGAACACAAAAGAAGATATGTAGAGGAATGCTATTAGCCATTTATTTGCATTGTATTTTTTTCCTACTATAGATTTGATTGGATTGCAGTTCTTAACATTCTTTAAAATATTTTATTTGGTGTTCGACAGGAAAAAAAAGTTAAGATTTTACTCTAATTTTCCATTATTTAATGTTAATGTTTTTACTAATACGAGCAATCAATTAGCAATAGACTATTACAGTATATTTAATGCTAATGTTTAACAAAGAACAGTTTTGGATATTTATAATACATATGTAAATGTTTACATCAACATGAGTGAATATTAAATGATCTATATGATTTTTAGTTCATGTAAGTGCATAGATTACCAAATGAAACCTTATTGCAAATTGTCACTGACAAAAAAAATGTTTGTAACCACTTGAGATGAAGTAAGTGGTGAGTAAATTGTCATTTTAGATGATCTAAAAAAGGACTAGTTGTTCAGAATTTTTCTATGTACCATGCAGTTTTAGGGTGTTTTTGACAATGATGTTCATCCTGGTGTTCTCCTGTCTGTTCCTGCAGGATTACCAAGCCCCTGACCTTTGCTGACTGTGTGGGGGATGAGCTTCCTCTGGGCTGGGAGGTGGTGTATGACCAGCAGGTGGGCGTCTACTACATCGACCACATCAATAGTAAGTTCACTTCTTTAGATTTGTTTGTACATGTCAAATTTTGCACAATGGCTGGTCCATCTGTTCAGTTCTGTTAAACTAGGGCTGGCAATCAGTCAAATTGCTTTCATGATTTCATCTGATTTATTAGATAATATGCAGATAATCACCAAAAATATCAATTTTCTAGTCTCCGTTGTAACATTCTATGATTTGTTGTAATGTTTCACAATGTGTTTTGTTGTTAGTTCTATTCTGGGGATCATTCTGATTGCTATAATGTGCTCTTATACACTTACCACTTTAGTACACCTTGCTAGTCCTGGTTTGGACCCCCTTTTGCCTTCAGAATCCTTCGTGGCATATATTCAACAAGGTTCTTAAAATTTTCCTCAGAGATTTTGGTCCATATTGAGATGATAGCATCATGCACTTGCTGCGGATTTGTCGGCTGCACAATTATGATGCTAATTTCCCGTTCCACCTCATCCCAAAGTTGCTCCATTGTATTGAGATCTGGTGACTGTGGAGGCCATTTAAGTACAGTGAACTCATTGTCATGTTCAAGAAACCAGTCTGAGATAATTCGTGCTTTATGACATGGCGCGTTATCCTGCTGGAAGATGGGTAAACTGTGGTCATAAAGGGATGGACATGATTCGCAACAATACTTAAGTAGGCTGTGGTGTTAACGCAATGCTTAATTTGTCCTAATGGGATCCATGGATCCATGCTTTCATGTTGTTGATGCCAAATTCTGAGCTGAGCATCCGAATGTGGCAGCAGAAATTGAGACTCATCAGACCAGGCAACATTTTTCCAATCTTCTATTGTCAAATTTTGGTGAGCCTGTTTGTAGCCTCAGTTTCCTGTTCTTAGCTTACAGGAGTGGCACCTGATGTGGTCTTCTGCTGCTGTAGCCCATCTGCCTTGTGCCAAAGTTTGACGTGTTGTGTGCACAGAGATGCTCTTCTGCATACCTTGGCTGTATTGAGTGGTCATTTGAGTTACTGTTGCCTTTATATCAGCTCGAACAAGTCTGGCCATTCTCCTTTGACCTCTGGCATCAACAAGGCATTTGCACACACAAAACTGCTGCTCACTGGAAATTTTTTCTTTTTGCAGACTATTCACTGTAAACCCTAGAGATATCCCAGAATCCCAGAAAATCCCAGTAGATCTGCAATGTCTGAAATACTCAGACCTGCCCGTTTGGCACCAACAACCATGCCATGTTCTAAGTCACCTAAATCACCTTTCGTTCCCATTCTGATGCTCGGTTTGAACTGCAGCAGATCGTCTTGACCATTTCTACATTCCTGAATGAATTGAGTTGCGTCCATGTGATTGGCTGATTAGAAATTTGCGTTAACGATTTGCTGGACAGGTGTACCTGATAAAGTGGCTGGTGAGTGTATAGTTCTATTGTTCTGTCACTCTGATAGATTGAGAGAGAGGAAAAAAACATTTAGCTTTTGTTTGTTTTACCTTTCTTTCTTGATAGTTCAAACTTTCTAACGATCTGTCATTTATTCTGCTGTTTTTTTTGTTCGTTGTAACATTCACTCTTACATACTAATGTTTTTCCATTGCTTTCTAATTTTTGTCGCTCATACTATCAGAGTAAGTACAGATATCTATCTTTCTATTAGCTTTGTCTTTCTGTTGTTCTGTCAATCTACTTTCCGGCTTTTTTTGTTCCATCACAATCATTCTATCTATCTAGCCAGTGTGTTTCTGTTGGTCTTTTGGTCTGCCTGTTGTTGTATTTGATTTGTTGTTCTATTTTTTAAGCTATTGACATTCTTTGTCTCTTGTTCAGTTGTTCTGTCTCACTGCCCATCAATCTTTCTGTCTTTTGCTACAATTACATGGACACTTTTTTTCCTTTCAGTCAGATAGAAATCATTCAGATTGATCAGTGTTATAATGGAATTTAAATTACTAAAAAAGTAAATGTGTGTGTTCAGTAACACACAATTTATTTCAGATTATTAAGTTTGCATATTATGCAAATAAAAAGTTTGAGCTTCAAGATAAGGGCAACTATTGACCAGTCCTCCTGCAACTCTGTTTTAAAAATCAGCCTTATTACCTGTTTGGGCAGATGATGGACTTTGTTCTTCTGCCTGTTAAACCGCATTTGAAAGAAACGTTTTAAAAGGATATTAGGCATTTTTAAGCTGCTGAAAATATCAAGGTTTTTCTAAAAATGCACAAAAGTGAGAGGTCCTATTGTAAAGCTCAGGACTCACTAAGCCAACATCAAACATCTATCGTCTACAAAATCTTGACTATGTGTACGTGCCTTGCACCGGCTGTAGATCTCGAACCTAAAAGCTGTGCATGAACACCTAATTAACAACAGCTGATTGAAACAAGAAAGCACGGTCTGCACCTGCATGAGAGGATGCATCATTCCATACCCGCAGGTGTATATCTGCATTTTAATTCCATAATAAAACATAAAGGTGCTGTATGTAAGTTTTTGACTCCTATAAAGCATAAAAATACCTTAATATATTTGCAGATATTTACGAAACATGCTAAGTGAACAGTTTGTTTATCTGAAAAACAATGCTGAAGTCAGATATACTGCATTGAAAATGTGTTTTCCGTGCTGGAACTTCTGTGTTTGTTTTGGTCATTTAACTCAGGCAATGCTAGTTTAGCCAATTATATTTCAGCACCCTTGGTTACTTTGGGGAAAACCCGCATATTTCATTAATTAATTGGTTATTAATGAGCAAATAATAGCCAATAATATAATTATTACGAATGTAAACACTAGGTTAGTAGGTTACATTGTAACACTGTGTCCTAACAACACACTAAGTGACGTGCAATCATAAGCAATTTGGCTGTTTACACCAGATAGTAGAAACAATACAGAAGTTTTAATGCAGCCATTCAGAAGAACAGAATAGTCACTCACTCAAGAAATAGTAAGATTTATGATCTAATTAATACATATTAAACCTATTTTTTAACATTATTAAATGTACATGCTGAATCACTGATATGTGTTGAGTTGCTCTTTCAATTTTAAACTGTTTATTGTTTTCTCAATATCTGAGGTAACCGCTGCTGCTTTCAGTAGTATGGTCATGTAAAATGGCATTCAAACTCACATTGTTAGCATTTAACATTGAATAAAGCACATGAGGTTTACCTAAGTTGTCATCAAGATTTCTGTTTTTCAGCTGCAAAAAAATAGAAACGGTTTCTAAAATATTTATTCCAGGTACTGGTAAGGAAAAAAACTCATTTTAATATGAAAATGTTCCTGCTGTTGCTTTTATTTAGAACACGGTTTAAATCAGCCTTAAATTAGCCTTTAGGGATCGATAGTCACTCACTCCTGTTTGTCCTCAATCTGGCAACCTGCACTTGCATGTGTTTTGATCCTGGAATTCAATACCTAGTTCAACCACTGGGTGTCAAACTTACATACTGCACCTTTAAATTGTGCCGCACGCATACAAACCATAAACAAAGTAGCGTTAACGGTACAGTACCATTTTCAAAGTACGCCTCGCTCACCACAATAATCCATATTGTTTGCAAATATTTTAAAAATTTAATGAAATGTGTCCAGCCTTTATGAGAAACTTTTATTTTTGTTTGTGTCCATTTAAAAGTGTTGGCACTATGGAGAGAAATATAAAGGTATTTTCCATTTTCCATTTGCTGAGCATGAGGTTGTGACAGTTAGGCCCAATCCCAATTCTATTTTTTGTACCCCTACCCCTTCCCCTTGGCCCTTACAACCGAGAGTGAATGGGGAAGGGCTTCAAAATTTACTCCTAAGAATTGGGACAGCACTACAGCACCTGCACACGTCTTCATATGTCGTCGCGATCTCTTGCTTCATATGAGATCAGATGATTGCGACTGCTGTGGTTATTCCAGCTGCTTTATTTTTTGGCATTTATCTTCATGAAATCACTGAAGCAATATATTATCTTATCAAAATGATATCCTGTGGTAATAAGATCATAACTGTACTGTGCATTTACACAGTGGCCGTGTTAATCAATGTAAACGCATCAAAACCAACATTAACATTAGAGCAGACGCTGTAAATAATGTTGTGGGACTGCTAGGAGTTATGATTATGGATTATAGATTGTGAAATTTAGCGTTTTTTTTCTTCGTTTTTTTAAGCATGACAGTAAAACATGAACGCATTTATGAATATATTAAAACATGTGCTTGTTTATTGTAAAAATTTGTAATAATGACAAAAAAAAAAAAAACTAATTTGTGGATCTGCTTCTAGGTGCAGTGATTCTGCCATTGTGCCCTTAGCCCTACGCCTTCAAGCTAAAGAGAATTGGGAGACCCCTACCCCTTGATATGAACGATCAAAACGAGGGGTAGGGGTAAGGGGAAGGGCTAAGGGGTAGAATTGGGATTGGGCCTTAGTCTGAATGGTGTTTTTTCCGCCTCTGCTGCACTGTGATTGAATGATGAGCTCATGTGTGCGCTTTTACTTAAAGTGGTACATTTTTCAGCTGGGCAGCACAAATATTCATAAAATTGACACTTAATTCCCTTCTTTTACTACTGAAAACAACCAAAAATTCTTTCAGTGTCCTTTCTAACACTGTTATTCATCATTGTTATATTTACTTCACTGCATATGTGCAAAACTTCCCAGTTTCAGTTTTCATTTCGAAGGAGTATATACATGTTCTCTTGATTAAATTAGAAAAGGCTTAAACCCAATCTTTCCATCTGATTGACGGATCTGGACAATTCTTTCCAATTGATGTTTACATTTTGACTTGAAACTGTATCCGAATTTAATCAAATTTCTTGGGTTCTTCCAAATGTAGTGATTGTTATTTCCCATCTATTGTTTTGTCATTTGACTTTAAATTGCTAATATTTTGTATGTCAGCCTGCTTCTCTGAGGTGCTATCTTAAAATACATATGAATGACAAATTAATGTTTTTAAAGCTCTCATACCTGTGTTACCACAGTGTGTTTTTATGTTTCCCTCCACCAGAGACAACTCAAATAGAGAACCCTCGTACACAATGGCGCCAGGAGCAGGAGCGCATGTTAAAAGAGTACCTAGTGGTGGCACAGGAGGCTCTCAATGCCAAGAAAGAGATGTATCAGATCAAACAGCAAAGACTGGAGCTGGCACAGCAAGAGATGCAGCTCTTCAACCAGCTCACTCAGGATGACAACCGCTCCATCACCAGCTGTGAGAAACGCATCACATCTCACTTCAATTGCCTCACATAGTGCTGATTCAGCCATCCAAAATTGTGCCAGTGTATTAGTCATTATCGTGTGAGGTTTCAATGAAGTCATTCTTACTCCCATCTTAAGTGTCACTCATTGGCTGAAATTGAGAACTTTCCTCGCTCATACTTCCACGGCCTCCTCCCTTCCTCTTGTCCACATCACCCCTCCTTTTCCCTTCACCTTCCCCTCCCTTTCCTGCCACCATTCATCAGCTCTGCTCTTACTTCCTGTTTCTCACTAAAACGGCTCTTTGCTTTTATTCATACCCATCGCTTTCAATGAAGTATACATGATTTTGATTTAATTAATGAAGGTTTATATCACAGAATGTGAAATGCATGATTGGTGAAACCATTAGTATCATTTCTTATGAATGTATTGATCTATTTAAAACGTTAAAACAAAATATTATTAAAACAATATGTCTGTATATGTATATATATATATTTATATATATATATATATATATATATATATATATATATGTGTGTGTGTGTGTGTGTGTGTGTGTGTGTGTGTGTGTGTGTGTATATATATATATATATATATATATATATATATATATATATATATATATATATATGTATATATATATATATATATATATATATATATATATATATATATGTATATGTATGTATATATAATTCTAAGAGAAACACAATATTTAACTTCTAACGCCTATATGTATATTTTTTGCCATCTTTAAAAATTGGATCAAATAATCGTCTAAGTCGATTAAGCTTCTAAAAATCTATTAAAGTAAATTTAAATGAAACACATGCACTCACGCACAGACACACAATCACAATTAAATATATATATAAATGTCAAAATTAGTGCGTTAACGCACGTGATTAATTTGAAATATTTAATGCATAAAAAAAAATAACACAAAAAACGCAGTTGCAGTTCTTTTTATTTCCTGTTGTGGCCGACGTGTGTTCAGGGCCGGCACGTCTATAGAGGCAACCTAGGCGGCTGCCTTAGGCAGCTGAATAGTGAGCCAACCCCCCGGTCTTCACATTCATCCACTACACCCACCCCCTCCCTCATGGTCCTTGGCCTTCCATACAATTAATGTCGCATTTTCAGGCTATCCTACTTTTCCTCCAGAGTTTTATGCAATTTTGGGTTCAGCATATTTTCATTCAGGATGCTTTAATGGAATTTGATACCACATGGCGAACGGAAAGAAAAACTTCCGCATTTCGGGACTCGTGTGGTCATTTAAGATAATCAAAAATCGCTGTTTACATGATCGACTCTTGATCAGTAATATCTTAATCATCAAAGCTGAGTATTGGTGTTCCTGTGAATGAAAGTGCCAGATGAATTCGCAAGCTATCAAAGACATCTCTCTGCCCTTAAGCTGCGTCCCTCAAATGTTTCATTAAGTTTGACGTGTCCCCCCCGCCCCCCCCCCCCCCCTTTTGTAAAGCGTCTGCTTCACGTTCCTCTTTCAGAATCCTTGCTTGTTAAATACAGCTATACTTTAGAATGCTTGGCTTAAGCAAGCATTCACTCAGCTGTGTCAGATAAACAGCACAGTGACAGAGTTTTAAAAAAGTTTTAAACTTGTAAAACACATTCTTGATTACATTTGATGATGATTGATAATCACAGCAAGCTGAACAGATCTTTTAATACCAGTTGCTTTGCACACGCCCTGTCTTGTTGATATGATTATACGAGTTACTATGGAGACATGTTAATACTTGGCTGTCAATCAATTCGGTGAGCAGGGAAACCACACTCCTATGTCACGTTGCAGTCCGCCTTAATGGGAGGGGCTTGGATCCTATTTAAAGCCAGGAAATTAAAAAGAAGAGACTTATTGTCTTTATTTTACCCTAATATGACAGTGGACACACTGTACCTACACACAGTTCTGTTCAAACAGCTTCAAAATATGATTTTCATCATAGGTGCCCATTAAATGTTAACAATCTTATAAGATAACTTTTGTATTTTACTTAAATATGTAACTTTTGCAATAAAAAAAGAATAATATAGCAGAATCTACAAGTACTCTAGGTATAATAAAAGTCACATGACGACATAGCATTGTATAATCATAATACTTAATTTGCATGTGTATTGATTTCTCAACGTTTCTGATTATTTTTGGATCTTGTGTCCTTTTGTGTCCTATCTTTTATATGCGTAATACAAGGTGTAAACCGACTACATATTAGCATGTGTTGATTTGTGACTTTCTGACCAATCTTTCTTTCTCATAGCTCACTCTGGTTCCTCTTCAAATGCAAAATATGACCCTGACCAAATCAAAGCGGAAATCGCCTGTAGGCGTGAACGGGTAAGTCATTATCCTCTGAGAACAATGCTTCATACGTCAGGCGTGAGGGGGGGACGGGGCCCCTCATGTGCTATGTTGATTTTGTGTTTGTGTATGTGTGTTGAGGGGAGATGGTTACCTTTAGCAAGAAGAGGCGTTGATTTGAGTTCTCTGGCACATAGCTAGCGGGGCCTCTCTGGATTAATGCTGTATTACAGCAAGAGTCATTGTGACTGAAAGTTGGCCTGTGGACGATGAAAGAAAGTCTCACTGAATTGGGATTTCAGTATTTTCCATTAGGTAACAAAATGAGAATATCTACACAGCCTTTAAATGTTTTTTTTTTCTTTTTTTATATAAATCTGTCCTGTACAGAGAAAAAAAAATTGTCATCTCCCATATAGACTACTTTAACATTTTTTGTTTGGTTTTGTTTTGTTCTTTGTGGAGTTTGACAGTGGTCGAAACTCATTATCTGATAAAGAACTGTGCAAGTTTATTTTTATTGCTTATTTTTCAAATGAAAAATAAAGGAAGATCTTTTGAAAATCTTAGTAACTTGCTATTATTGACTTCCATAGTAGGAAAAATAAATATTATGGAAGTCAATGGTTACAGGTTTTCTTTAAATTATCACGTTTGTGATCAAAAAACTGTTTTGAAACATGTTAATAATGACATAATTATAATTTTTTTGGTGATCTGTCTTTTTAACCTAACATTAAAAGGTGCAGTGTGTAAGTTTGACACCCAGTGCTTGAATTAGGTATTGCACACTTGGTTCAAACACATGCAAGCACAAGTTGCCAGATTGACGACACCAACTGCACTGTCGAGCTGACTGTCGAGCCTTAAAGCTGATTTAAGGCTGGTTTAATATATATATATATATATATATATATATATATATATATATATATATATATATATTAATATTTTCCTCATTAAAAGGAGTTTTTGTTACAACCAACACCTGGCATATGTGTTTTCGAAACAGCTTCTATTTATTGCAGCTGAACAACAGGAAAAACTGACAATGATCCCCTCAGGTACACCTTGTGTACCTTATTCAGTGTTAAATGTTAACAATGTGAGCTTAAATGCCATTTCACATGACATTTATTGTCATACTACGAAAAACAGCAGCAGATAGTTCACCTCAGATCTTGAAATAAAATAAACCCTTTGAAATGGAACTTTAGTGCAAGTCAACACATATCAGTGATTATGCTTGTACATTTAATGTTAAAGAGGTTTGATATGTAATAATTAGATTATAAACCTTTCCATTTCGCTGGAGTGCAGTAAGTCCACTATTATGTGCTTCTGAATAACTATATTTAAATTTCTGTCGTGTTTCATCTGGTGCTAATTAGCCCAGTTGCTTATCACTGCAAATCTTGTCACATAGCAAGTTATTTGGACACAGGGTTACAATGTAACCTGCTCACCTACTGTTACTTACTAATAACCACCTCATGCGGAACTCGCATTTTGGTCGCAAATGCATACTTTGAGAGTCTTTCTTACTGAATAAATGAATACAGTGACAGACGTTACGGCACGTAATGCATATTTTCAAAGCAGAAAATCTGACATTGTTTTTCAGATGTTCAACTTAGCATATTTCCTAAATATCTGCAAACATATCATGATATTTTTATGCTTTGGAAGAATGAAAAACTTACATACAGCACCTTTAAGAAAAATTATAGGTATCCAGAATTTATCAACCATTTCCTTAAAATGTAAATTTTATTCACTTGGGTGATCAGACATGTAGATTTTTTTTTTTCATTTGTTTAATTTTTTTATTCATGATAGTCCCCAGTAAAGAGGTGCGAGCCATTTTTATTTTGTGTTGCCAGATCTTGCTTGAAAATGCAGCAAACAGGAACAAGCTTATAATAAAATAAAATAATTCCAAATACTTTATAATAAAAGGCATTTCATAATATCACTATATGCAAATGCCCACTAAAATAGTTGCATAAAAAGTGCACTTTGCAACAAAAAAACTAAATTATATACCTGTATTTGCCACCTTATATTAAAGAAAAGTGTTAAAATTATTTTTTACCAAATTGATTATATATTATTTCATATTTGGTGTAGTGTGGCCTGTTACCTACATAGCATTTTTTTTTTTTTTACTGTATAATGACTGACCCTACATTCCTCCGTTGTGGTTTTGGGAGGGCTGTGTGTATGTGTTCAAGGCCGTTTTAAGTTCCTGTGTATGTTGGGTGGGTCTGGAATCATTAGACATCTCTCTGCTGATGACTCAACTGTTTTTGCTATAGTGGCGCTGAGGGAATCCCTCTGTGTGTTTTGATGTGTACTGACCAAGCGGTTCTTGTGTCCACAGCTCTCCAGACTCAAACAGGAGCTGGCTCAGATGAGACAGGAGCTGCAATACAAGGAAATGGGAGTGGAGACCTTACAGGAGTGAGTTAAACCGAATTAAATCCTTCCTCACATGCTTGTACAGACACCAAGAATGGGGAGTTTAGCAATTGGAAGATTTTATTAATGGCATTTGTGGAAAACATCAATATTAAGTCCCTGATGTACTCCTAACAAAATAGTTTTTATGGTTTGTTCCACTGAGAGCTCAAGAGGTGCTATTGATGCTAAAAGTTCTTGTTAGCACATTCACTTCCGATGCAGGAAGTGCCCATTTAAATCTCTCTCGGAGAGAATCAGAAGCAGCTAGTGTAACTTCTCTGGTCTTACACCACCCAACGCGCTCTGAGCTGGGAGCGAACTGGCGACCTGCACAGCACTTCACTAGCTTGCCTCTGCTACACTAACCCCCCTAAACCTCACTCTCATCCCGGTCATGGCACTAATGTAACCCCTCTGGTACTACACCACTCAACCCGTTCTCAGCTGGGATTGAACCGGTGACTTTCCGCATGGGAGTCGGTTGCTCCACCTAGGAGGCTAAATGGCCTCTAGCGTCTGTCACTAGAGCACCTTTTAGAGGTCAGAAGAGAGAGGTTTACCTGCACAGCACTTCAGTAGTTGGCCTCTGCTTTACTAGAACCAGTAAAATTGGTGCCGTGACCCGGATGGGGTAAGGTTTTAGTGAGTAAGTGTTACAGACACAGTGTGCCACTAATCCACCTTTCCCAAGTGACTTGTGATAGAAACTGGGGTTTTTAACATCATTGTTAGTGCACTAACCTCTAATACCAAAAGAGCCTGTAATATTGGTGCAGATCATTGAATATGAGAGATATTTCAAGGGGTGAGTGTACTAAAATAGCTGTGTGAAAAATTGTCAATGCCCTTGCCTTAAGAGGCACACTAGAGGCTGTGCATGTAAAATCTTTATTTTCATGCCCATCTCCCATACCTTAAAGATTGATTCTTGTTCAGAGGAGAGCTAGTAGAATTGGAGGCATTAAATTGGTGTCGTGACCCAGATGGGAGTTAGAGAGGAGAATATAGCACAGGCCAGTTAGTAAACCTCACTTCCCAGTCTTCAAGGGTTGCACTAATGACTGATGTTAGAGGCTATGGCCTTGTTAATGTACAAATCTCATATGCCAAAAGTACCAGTTCAAGTCCCTCTTGAAGTGGGGTAATTGCAACAAAACAATACACATAAAGTGTCACTTGTATAGTTTTGAATGAGAAAAAATGTAATAGTCAATATGGCTCCTCTAGCAAAGGAAGCGTTGCGTTCGAGTAAAGTAGCCTATCATCAAGCGCTATAGACTGATTATTATCCAGGGGAGGGGCTTGGCCCAGATTTGTTTTTACAACAGTTTCTGCAGCTTCATTGTTATGAACCCTCTGGGATCAGCAAACGCAATGGGATCTCATCAAATTCTTGCCTCTTAAACAGGACAAATAAATCTACATACAGCTTGAAATCCATATTCTCAAATGAACCAACTATACATAAAAAATTGTGTGAAAAGAATGCTAGGTAAAGTCTGTCCCATCTGATCTCATGAATTGCCACCTTCAGCATTCAAAAACAAGTCACATGACTGCAACCACTTTAATGATCACAAACTTTTAAACAGAGAGGTTACTATCATTTGACATTTGCCACCCAGAATAAGTTGGAAATTACTTTATTAGAAAAGTGCAATCATATTTTGAATGTCTACTTTCCATGCCGATCTGATTTGTAAGCTTGCTTCCTCTTATGCTAAAAAACCAACTAATCTGTTATTAAACATCCTCACACCACTTAATCTGCTGGCAAACATTGAATTGCTGATATCTTTTTGAATGAAACATTTTTTAATTTTATTCAAAGCATATTCATATTATTCATACATAGGTTTGGGGTTAGTGGTAAAGTATGCAATGCTGTTAAAAGGGACAAGAATCATACACTGTAGCAACACCCTGGTAATGTTGGTGTGTGTGTGTGTGCGCGTGCGTGCATGCGTGTGTGTGTAGAAATTTGTATCTAAATGAAATCTGCATACTTTTGTTCCTGGGACATTTCCTTGTTGAGTGGTCAAAATGTCATTGAACTATGATATCTGTATTTTTTATAATTATGATATTTGTGGATAAACTTATAATTATTATCAATAGCAAGGAATACTTTCAAATCGGCAAGGTAAATATAATAAAAACGCATTTAAAAAATAGTTCCAGCAAATAAGTGATAGGCGTATCTAATTAAATTAATATGTCAGCATGTTTAGAATGTATTATAATTATAATATTTTACAAACTCAATACGTTTTGAAATGTTATTTTGTTCTATGTTTGCGCTTTTGGAAATGGATCTCACTATTTATAGCTGTCTCTCTCAATTACACTAAATGTACCTTAAGTCTTCTGTTTTTGACAAATCATGTTTTACTTAATGTACTAAAAGTTTATCTTTATTACTACTTAGGGCCCTATCATACACCCGGTGCAATAAGGCACAAAACGTCTTTGGTGCGATTTGTTACTATTTTCAGACCAGTGCAACTGTAATTTTCACATTTTGCACCATGTTGTTTAAATAGCAAATCCATTTGTGCCACTTAGTGGACTCATGGGTGTTCTGTTCTAAAAAGGAGGTGTGTTAAGGCGCATTGTTGGCTTTAATGGCTATTTTCAGGAACTGAAATAGACTGTGCCAATCATCAAGCAAAAACTGCTTTAGAATCCAGTGCAGAGCGAGTTAGTTATGCACCTATGCAAGTCCAAGCGCCTAATACATGATTACACAAGTATCTATAAGCTGTGTCGTGTGCCAGTAGATTGTGTGGGTCAGATGTCACACTACTTAAGTTAAAATTACCTCTGGAATGAGCTTCATTACATCTTTGACTGATGTTGGATGAGAAAGTTTCTTGGAGTCTCCACTCCAACTCATTCAGTCTGGTCTCATTTTGAAATAAACAATGAAGTGTTGCTGTTCTTAACTTATACTAGGCCCATTCTTAAATCTTAAGGTATGCATAAGCGCACATACACACCAAATGCCAAGTCTGACCCAGGTTAGTGGACTGTCTAAGACAGATTTGACAGCACTTTTCACTGTATTCCCACGATGGCTCGCTGGATTCATTGAGACCTGAGAAGGCAGCAATTTCTTTTTGTCTTTGCTCCATGTGATATACAGTTCATTGCCCTTAAACTCAGTTTTGATGAGTGCCTGTAGTACCCATTTAGCATCAGGCGGACAATGGAAAGCCACATTAGCAATCATAAGACTGAGTGGGTATCCTATGTATATCAATTGCACAGTAGAGATGGATCCAAATGGAGAAAACATTTAAATCAGCTGTAGTTCGGTCACTCTTGCGTGCAGATTAAACATAATTTCATATATGGCTGCACAACATATTGTAAAAGAATCGTTTGGCAAAAGTAATGAGCTATATGCACAGCTAAGGTTTTTAAACAAATGATGAACAACCGGTGAGAGCTTTATGTGACTATTTTCATGTTCATAAAGTTCCTTTTACAGCAGAGATGTTGTCATTTAATTTATGTATAATCAGTTAAATAGAGTTAAGCATCCATGTGGTTGTTAAGCATAAAAAGACACGAAAGACTAATTAAACGCAAGCATCGTCATTAGCCGCAGACTAGCCCAGAAATTGCATTGAAAATACTGTGGTAAACTTTATTTCCATATTTTAAAGACATGGTGCAGAAAAATATGATTTAATGCAGTGCTTTTTGTTTGGTCTGACACCCACTTTATAGCATGTCTCAGCCAGTCAGTGAAGATCACTTGATCACCATGTGCGCACATCCCATTTCTGAGATTTTTATGTGTTAATTTTTTACAATCACTCAAGCAATATTTTGTCAGGTGGAATGAGTCATTTGAACAAAACAGTTCTTATTTTTAGCATAGCGAGCTACACTGTATAACATATCTGTTTATTAACAGTTTCCATATTCTGTTATTTAGAAGTGTTTTCTTTAAATTTCTGTTTGTGAATTGCATTATGGCAGTTTTATCTCTGCTTTGTCGACTTTTAATGTTGAAAATTGAACACTGTGGTATAAAAAAAGGGACAAGATATTGTTTAAGAAATAATATAGAAAGAATTAAGTCTGTAAAATTGCAGAAAATATACTGACAGTTTATTAACAGCTTTTTGTACTGTAATTTACAACACCAACCAGGAAAAATAAATCACTTTAAATTGTTAAAAATAAAAACTAAAGTCATTTTTTAAACTTTTCAACATCAAAAGCTATTGGAAGAAAGATTATGATCTCGAAATGCAATTCAAAAGCATAAATAAGTATAAAAAAGTGTGAATCACAGAAAGTGCTAATTTACTTATATTTCTTTTACAGTGTAGTGAATCCTGAGCTAATTTCACTATATTATTCAGTTCAATAAAGCTGCGAACTAAACAGTATGGCTGTGTGAAAATTCGAAATCGAATCACAATCGCGATTTAAAATGCTGCGATTAAATAATTGCAAGAGGCTGCGTTATGAAATGTATTTGTATTATACAATTTCCCCTGCCCCATGCAAATGCGTGACTCCAGTCTTAGTGTTACAGTCTTACTAGCCAATTGAGTGACCACACTTTCGATGTGCCTAATCAGAATTACGCAACCGAACTATGCGTAAAGCCCACAATAAAACAAACAAATAGGAAAGTGCAGGCAAGTGGGATGATGGCGTCTGCCACTTCAGAAGCGTAAATAGACGAATTTATATTAAAGAAAAACAGCATGTCGATAATACAGGAGTATTTTGGTTTCAAAGTTACAGACAACAAACAAAAACAGGTCATTTGTAAGAGCTGTTGGAGAATTGTTGCCACAGCGCAAGGAAATATATAGTAGCAAGCAACAGCAAAGTACCATTTCAGAGCTGTTTGCAGCTGTTACACCATGTGAAAAACATCACGAAGGCACCAGGAGATAACTATTGCCATAACTACTCTTTGCTCTAGAGAAAAAATTGTGAAAATTTTTCTGAATGGTTATAAACAAATAAAA